CTCTTGTTACCCAGGCTGGAGTGCAATGGCGCGATCTCGGCTCACCACAACCTCCGCCTCCTGGGTTCAGGCAATTCTCCTGCCTCAGCCTCCTGAGTAGCTGGGATTACAGGCACGCACCACCATGCCCAGCTCATTTTTTGTATTTTTAGTAGAGACGGGGTTTCACCGTGTTGACCAGGATGGTCTCGATCTCTTGACCTCGTGATCCACCCGCCTCGGCCTCCCAAAGTGCTGGGATTACAGGCGTGAGCCACCGCGCCCGGCCCAGAACTTTAATTTTACTTATCATTTTCCCCTCCCACATGTATTTCATTACTAACATCAATGTGGTGATGTCCATAAGACACTGTGGTTTTCAGAATCTCAGTTTGTAAGAAGAAATACCTACGTGGTTATGCAGTATTATTTTCTGAAAGTATTCAAATTAGTGAGGGTGGAGAGAATCTTTCCACTTTCCTCACCAGTAGAATTCAGTCAGTATTTTTTTTTTTTGAGACAGAGTTTCCCTCTTGTTGCCCACATTGCAGTACAATGGCGCGACCTCCGCTCACTGCAACCTCTGCCTCGCAGGTTCAAGCAATTCTCTTGCCTCAGCCTCCCGAGTAGCAGTGATTACAGGCTCGTGCCACCATGCCCAGCTAATTTTTGTATTCTTTAGTAGAGATGGGGTTTCACCATGTTGGTCAGGCTGGTCTTGAACTCCTGACCTCGTGATCCACCCTCTTCGACCTCCTAAAGTGCAGGGATTACAGGCGTGAGTCGCCGCATCCCACTTCAGTCAGTATTTCTTATGGTGGGTTGCATTGTTTTTCCTTTAGGAAGGGAAAGAAATTTCAAATAGCTGCTTCCTCAGGCCTTCAGTGAAATGATTTTCTTTTTATAATTCTAACACTGTTTTTTGTTATTGTTACAAAATGCTTTTTTAAGTTTTTGAGGAAAGCAGCTGCAACTATCTTTTTAAGAATATACTGCCTCCGGAATAATGGCTGGGAGTATTCAGCCTTTCATTATGGTGTTTTCTTTAAGATTGGCAGCTCCGGCCGGGCGCGGTGGCTCAAGCCTGTAATCCCAGCACTTTGGGAGGCCGAGGCGGGTGGATCACGAGGTCAAGAGATCGAGACCATCCTGGTCAACCTGGTGAAACCCCGTCTCTACTAAAAATACAAAAAATGAGCTGGGCATGGTGGTGCGTGCCTGTAATCCCAGCTACTCAGGAGGCTGAGGCAGGAGAATTGCCTGAACCCAGGAGGCGGAGGTTGTGGTGAGCCGAGATCGCGCCATTGCACTCCAGCCTGGGTAACAAGAGCGAAACTCCGTCTCAAAAAAAAAAAAAAGATTGGCAGCTCCAAAGTGAGAATGCCTAAGATGGAAACTTGGCTCTACCCTTATTATAGATAGAAAGTTAATTTCTATGAGCCTCTATTTTTTTCCTATATGCAGGGACACATACAGTATTTATTTCATAGAGTTGTTGGGAGGATTAAATTAGATAATGCACATTTAAAGCCTTATGTCAGGGGCTGGGCACCTTGGCTCATGCCTGTAATCTTGGTGCTTTGGGAGGCTGAGGTGGGTCAATTGCTTGATCCCAGGAGTTTGAGACCAGCCTGGGCAACCTGGCAAAACTCTGTCTCAACAAAAAAATGAAAAAAATTAGCTGGTGTGATAGCACGTGCCTGTAGTCCCTGCTACTTGGGAGGCTTAGATGGGAGGATCACTGGGGTCTGGGAAGTCTAGGCTGCAGTGAGCCATGATCGTGCCACGGCACGCCAGCCTGGGTGATAGAGCGAGATCCTGTTTCAAAAAATAAATAAAAATAAAAAATAAACTTCTTTGTCGAATTCAATGCTTTTAGTCACAACTCAAAATGGCCTAATCAGTAAAAGAATTTGCTGGCTCACATAACTGGAAAACAGCTAAGACTTGACTGATCTTGTCAAGGACGAGATATTAAGTAACTGAAAAACAGTAAGATGTGACTGGTACTTATCAAGGAAGAGCAGCTCACTGATATCGTCAAGAAAATTTTTTTCCCCTTTCCTGTTTTTTTTTTTTTTCCCCGAGACAGTGTCTCACTGTCACCCAGGCTGGAGCGCAATGGCGCAATCTCGGCTCACTGCAACCTCCGCCTCCTGAGTTCAAGCGATTCTCCTGCCTCAGCCTCCCGTGTAGCTGAGATTATAGGCATATGCCACCATGCCTAGCTAATTTTTTGTATTTTTAGGAAAGATGGGGTTTTACTGTGTTCCCCAGACTGGTCTCTTGAACTCCTGAGCTCAGGCAATCCACCCGCCTCGGCCTCCCAAAGTGCTAGGATTACAAGCGTGAGCCACTGCACCCGGCCCCTTTTTCCTGTTTTTGTTTCCATGGTGTTGGCTTTATCTTAAGGCAAGCTCTCATTGCAGGTTGGCTACCTGCTGTTTCTATTTGTAAGGCTGCATACTTCTGTGTTCACACCCAGATGGACTGGGGTCGGCAGTGGGGGTGGAGGGGGCAGTGACCTTGTTCCAGGTTTTCTAAAATTCTGAAATCCACTCTGTATTAGATCAGCTTATGCAAATGTCCGTATCCAACCAATAACCGTGGCGGGGTTATAGTGCACTGACTAACTTAGCTTAGACCACGTACCCTGGTGCCAAGCTTCCTTGGAATTGCATAGATCCTCAAATAGAAACAAGCTGTTGGAAAGAGGAGACAGGGGCCTGGATGCTGGAGAGGCAACTAGCAGTGCATGGTACAAAGTAAGGACACTATTTTTAAATTGTTACTATGAAGGAGATGCTATTGACAATCCAAAATATGCCAAGCACTGCACACATGGTGTCATGTTTAACCCTCAACTTTTTTTTTTCTTTTTGAGACAGAGTCTTGCTCTGTCACCCAGGCTGGAGTGCAGTGGCACGATTTTGCAGTGGCACAACCTCCGCCTCCTGGGTTCAAACAATTTTTCTGCCTTAGCCTCCCAAGTAGTTGGGACTATAGGTGTGTGCCACCACCGGCTAATTTATTTTTTATTTTTTTTGGAATGGAGTCTTGCTCTTGTCACCCAGGCTAGAGTGCAATGGCATGATCTCGGCTTACCACAACCTCCACCTCCCGGGTTCAAGTGATTCTCCTGCCTCAACCTCTCAAGTAGCTGGGATTATAGGTGCCCGCCACCATGCCCGGCTAACTTTTTTGTATTTTTTTTTTTTTCAGTAGAGATGGGGTTTCACCGTGTTGGCCAGGCTGGTCTTGAACTCCTGACCTTGTGATCTGCCTGCCTTGGCCTCCCAAAGTGCTGGGATTACAGGTGTGAGCCACCGCACCTGGCCTAACCCTCATAACTTTAAAAGGTAGACATTGTTATATCCTTTAATAGAGGACAGAACTGAGTGAGGCTCAGGAATAGTCATACCTCCAAATTCAGGAAAGTGAATGCGTGGCAGACCTGAGATTCAAATCCAAGTCTTTTCTCAAATGTTTGCCCTAAGGATTTCTTTTTTGGTGCTGAGAAAATGAACCAGGGAACGTGAACCAGGGAAAATAACAAGAGGATTTGGTGGGAACCAAGAGGACAAATGAGATTAACAGATTTGCAAGTGACAGGAGGCTTTCCACTTTCTTCACAGATCATGACAACTGGCCCGAGGGAGCAGGGGACGTTTCTGTTGTTAAAAAGATGAAGGAGTCTTTTAAGCAGAAAGCTAAGATCTGAGCTGAGGAAACAAGGCGTCCTTCATCCCCCAGTGCCTTCTCATCTTGAGGATGTGCTTCCGTACATTTTAAAAGCTTATAGTTAGTATGGAAAACATCTTTCTGATTTTTAAATGTTACTAATTATATCTATGGAAAAACTATTCCTGAAATATATATATTTTTATGTCCCAATCAAAATCTTTTAACCTGTGATCTTAAAATGTTTAAATAACAGACATTAACATATCTTAATGATTTTACTTTTTATTCTAAGAAAAGTATTTGAAAAATGGAATAATTTTAAATCAATAATAATTCTAGGGATCATGAACTCCCAGAAGATTTTATTTAATTATAAAGGTAGATGCCAGGTGTGGTGGTTCACATCTGTAATCTCAGCATTTTGGGAAACTGAGGTGGGTGGATCACCTGAGGTCAGGAGTTGAAGACCAGCCTGGCCAACATGGTGAAACCCCATTTCTACTAAAAACAAAAACAAAAACAAAAATTAGGTGAGTGTGGTGGCACACACTTGTAGTCCCAGCTACTTGGGAGGCTGAGGCAGGAGGATCACTTGAACCCAGGAGGCAGAGGTGGCAGTGAGCCGAGATTGCACCACTGTACTCCAGCCTGGACGGCAGAGTGAGATTCCATCTCAAAAACAATAAAAACAAAAACAAAAACAAACAAACAAAATAATAATGGTAGAAAATAAATCTTAATTGTGGCATAATTATGATTATTACAATTAGAATTATACAGTAACTTGTTTTTGGTGGCAAATACTTTTGGAACTATAAAGCCTTATGGTAATTATTGATGTGTAGTTTGTTTTGTTCATGTAGTCAAATTTGTATAAATTCTCTTAATTCAAAGAAAAGTTATGTGTGTTTCTTTTCGCAGTGCCTGATTTGTGTCTTGATTTCCTACCCAAAGGATTCCCTTTTCCTTATGTACCTCCTTTTGTAGGCAAAAATAAAATATAAATTGTATGCAAATGTGTTAGGGTTCCATATTCTGCCTTTGATGGCTCCAGTCTGGTAGTTAGACCGTTATTTAAGAAATGCCTTTAGCAGACTGAATATGTTCATTCTTTGTCTTGAAGTTCTTTCAAGTGTCTGAGGTGAAGTAGCTATTTTCTCTTTTTTATCATGAACATTCATTTTATTTATTTATTTAGTTTTGAGCTGTCACTGTGTGACACAGGCTGGAGGGCAGTGGTGCGATCTCGGCTCATTGCAGCCTCCGCCTCCCGGGCTCAAGCGATTCTCCTGTCTTAGCCTCCTGAGTAGCTGGGATTATAGGCGTGCGCCACCATGCCCGGCTAATTTTTGTATTTTTAATAGAGCCAGGGTTTCATCATATTGGCCAGGCTGGTCTCGATCTCCTGACCTCAAGTGATCTGCCTGTTTCGGCCTCTCAAAGTGCTGGGATGACAGGTGTGAGCCACCACGCCTGGCCTGTCATTAACACTCATTTTAAAGTGTATGATTTACCAACCTCTGGGGTTTGGGACCCAAAATCTGCAGCTTTCTCATGCCCTCAAGCAGCACTGGCATGAGGGAGAGGCTAATGAGGTACCCAGGGTACAACATTTAAGGAGGTATTATGCATTGTCAGGTTTGTGCCCATGCAAAATCACCCTTGGGAGTGAGTGTGTCCTTAAATTTTGTGCCCATACTAACAATGTGGGAAGATCAGAAAGCTTTCTTTTCCTCCCAGATAGCTCTTTAACAGTGGCCTACTGGAACTGATAATGCCGTAATAACTGAGAATTACAAGCCCCATTAGAGGGCAAAGTGGCCCTAATACAGGTTGGTGGAGAAGAGGGAAAAGGCAGGGCTTGCTTTCACACGACCTGCGTCGATGACTGCCCTCAACTCCTTAAATCTCCATAGCATTGCCATTGATTTCTGCTTAAGGCACAGAACCTGCCTATGTGACAGTAACCTTAGCTACAACTCATTGGAGCTTTTTCTTAAGCTATCGTTATCTATATTTTAGAATTATGAATTTATTATCATAATAGTATCCTGTCAATAATATTGTTTTGCCACTATGCTTAGTAAGTTTTGTTGTAGAGTGACTGTTCTTGAGTAGGCTTAATGATTTTGAGCTCCTGCTATGTATTTAGGATTATGCCAGAAATGAGACATGCAGTGGTGAAAAATACACATGGATCTTGCTTTACTGAGCTTACAATACAGAGAGGGTGAGACAGCAGGAGCATTATAGATGATAAGGCCGTGGTGTCCACAGCATATAACTGAAAGAAAAAGACATCTGGAAAACAAAATGAAAAGAATTGTATATTTATATTAAAATAATTTGTTGATAAAGATGACCCTTATGAATGTTATCCCTCCCCCACTTGTGAATCTTTTGGTTTGTGGCTTATGTTAGTTCAGGTCCTCTGAAGAGCAGGTGCCCAGACATGTTGGAAATAGACACTCAGTGCCACAAAGAAAAATTAGCACTGAGACAAAGGATCTTTCAGCAACGCAATTTTTATTTCCTGGACTGCAGGAAGGGTACTCCCACTAGCCATCATGCCACGAGAATACAGTGAACAAAGGAAAACACACAAATTTATCCCTTATGCATTTGGGGTCATCTTTACTGATGTGTCTGATCTCCATTGGCTGGAGGCAGACCTCACAATTTAAACCAAAACCTGTTGGCTAACAACTTAAAACTTTTCTAAACACGTAAAAGCAATGGCGAGCTGGGGCATGGCTGTGAGCACGTCTAGCACAGATATCTTGGTCAGAGTACAAGGAAATAGAATGTACTATGTGCCTGTAAGCATGGCATGTCTAACAGCTACATGGGATGGGGCTTAACAAAGAGTTGTTAGCACACTTATAACCATAAGTTTAAGAAAGGAAACTTTAAAAAAGAAACTTTTCTACTTACCACAGACATAATGTGATTTGCATGACACTTATTGGGGACCGTGCCTGTGGAGGTAAGTGTGGGGAGCCAAAGAAGGCAGTGATGGCCTTCAGACCACGCTGCAAGGCTGACCCCTGTGAGAGAGAGGGGAGAGAGGATTGGGCTGGAGGCATCTCAGACTGCAGCAGAGTGATGCTTTCTTAAGACAGGCTTGCTGAACGTGTGCGTTCACACCGACAGCGGCCCACAGGAATAGCAGCACACACTCAATGGATCACGTGGGTGCCACCTGTATTGCTCCCTGTCCCTACTGTGAAAAAGTCACTCTGTCTCCTCCTCCTGGTGCCTGGACAAAGGGAGTTCAAAGTGCTCTGGCATCAGACAGTTTGTAGCTCAATGGGACCTTGTGGCATAAGATGTAGTTTGTAGCTCATATTGGGACCCTATGTCCCCTGGCAAGAGCCTCCCTCTTTGGGACCAGGATTTCCAGTGCTGCTATTCTCCTTAAATCCTGCAGCAGATCATTGGAAATGATAGAAAGCAGGGCCACTCCCGATTTCACCTGCTGGACCCCAGACACGGTCCCAAACCTACTGGTGACACACGTCCTTGAGGATAGCACTCCATCCTGGCCCTTCAGCCGGGTCTGGGTAGTTCAAGCCCTCCATGAGGCTGGCTGCCTATGGATGGTGCGGGGTGTGGACGGACGCTGGTTCCACAACCAGGGGCTCACTCTTTCGTCTCCTTCACTGGGAAGTAAGTCACCTGATTGGATTGGGACCTTGCCTAGCAACCAGGCTTTCTATAAGCCCCCAGTAGTCATGGTGTCTGAGTCCCTGCAGGCAGGAAAGCCAAACTCTTGCTTAGAAGAGGTATTTGTCACTACGAGGAGTGACACAGAAACCACACAGCAATTTGAACAGGGAAAGTTAAATGTGAAGAGTGATTATTACAGCAGATTGGAGCAGTGAAGGACTGGCTAGTAGGAAGTAAAAAGAACTTGAGCATAAGAATAGCAGATAACAGGAGTAGCCTGCACTACTAGGGTTAAGACTGAGCGCTCAAAGAAGAGCCCCGTCTGGGCGCGGTGGCTGACGCCTGTAATTCCAGCACTTTGGGAGGCTGAGGCAGGCGGATCACCTGAGGTCAGGAGTTGAAGACCAGCCTGGCCAACATGGTGAAACCCCATTTCTACTAAAAATACAAAAATTAGCCACTGGGCGTGTGGCGTGTGCCTGTAATCCCAGCTACTCAGGAGGCTGAGGCAGGAGAATCACTTGAACCTGGGAGGCAGAGGTTGTAGTGAGCCGAGATGGTGCCACTGCACTCCAGCGTGGCCGACAGAACGAGACTCAGTCTCAAAAAAGCAAGCAAGCAACCAACCACAGAGCTCAAAGAAGAGCCCTGGCTGGGCACAGTGGCTCATGCCTGTCATCCCAGCACTTTGGGAGGCTGAGGTGGGCAGATCACCTGAGGTCAAGAGTTTAAGATCAGCTTGGCCAACAGGGTGAAACCCCATCTCTACTAAAAATACAAAAATTATCCAGACCGGTGGCAGGCATCTTGAAGCTGAGGCAGGAGAATTGCTTGAACCTGAGAGGCAGAGGTTGCAGTGAGCCAAGATTGCGCCATTACACTCCAGCCTGGGTGACAGAGCAAGACCCTGTCTCAAAAAAACCCACAAAAAACAGAAGAGCCCCTCAGTACCCCTTGGGCTGACACTGTGGAGGGCAGAGAAGTCACTGTGGTGCTCTGCTGGTAGAACTTGCTAGAAATCTGCCCTCTGTGCAGTTTTCCCCAGGTCCCCAGAGGGCAGAGGACTTCCCTTTGGGGTCCTGGAGAAAATTGCACATAGAGGTGTCCCACTAGAGGCTTCTTGATGCAAAACTCTGTGAGGGCAGTGCTGGGAAGCAGGGAAGACCCTCCTGCCCAGCAGTCTGCACTGCGCTGGTCAGGAAGCAAAACTCTCTTCCTCCTGCAGTATTTCTCCATCACCCTTTCCTGACAAAGCTTCAGAACCCGCTGGCCCAGGGAAACAACTTAAGAGGGCCCAGATCCATTTTCATGGAACAGATGAGCAATACATCCAGAGCCTGCCGCTTGTTGACTGGCCTCCTGTGGCCCATTGGTCTCCTTAAGGAGCAGTGACACTTCAGGGCTCAGCAATGGCCTGTGTTGCAGACAGGTTGGACATTCAGAGGTAACGACAGTTCCGTTGACCTCGGATAACCGGGAGTCCACGCTAGCAGGCTGTCTGCAGCCTCCCTCTGTCCCTGTGCCTGTCACAGCAGCTCTGGGCTGGCCGGTGATGAAGGCCAGCTATCAACCCACCAAGCCTTCTTGGCTGCTTGTTTGTTCTACGACGATTCCGTGAGGATTGCATTCTGGGGGCATTAAGGTGGGAGGTGGAAATGATACTCCCCTGGAGTGCCCACTCCCCTGGGTTCATCCACAGGCCTTTACCCCAGACCTTATTTCCTGGCCACTGTATATATTCTCACCTCGGGCCATTTTTTGTTCCATTGTAGATGCCAGTTGCACCCTCACACGCTGCCCATTAGAAAGATTTTCCAGTCAGTAGCTGTGGCTCATGCCTGTAATCCCAGCACTTTGGGAGGCCGAGGCAGGCGGATCATCTAAGGTCAGGAGCTAGAAACCAGCCTGCTCAACATGGTGAAACCCCGTCTCTACTAAAAAACAAAAATTAGCTGGGCGTGGTGGCATGTGCCTATGATCTCAGCTACTCAGGAGGCTGAGAGAGGAGAATTGCTTGAATTTGAGAGGCGGAGGTTGCAGCGAGTTGAGATCGCGCCACTGCACTCCAGGCTGGGCGACAAGAGCGAGACTCCATCTCAAAGAAAAAGAAAAAAGAAAAGAAAGATTTTCCCGCTCCACCATCATAGGGCCACTCCTGAATAGGGCT